CCCCTCACAGAGAAGAGGGAGGGAACCAGAATTTCCCCACTTCCCGATTCCCTGGACCTGACACACAGCAGTCACTCAACAAACTCTTCTGGACTCACATCATAATTATGTTTATGGCTTATATTTTCCACAGCAACAGAAGGCATGTTGATTGTGATAAACATTCCCTGGCAGAGCTGTTAAAACCTGAGCGCCCGCTCACTCTCCTACAGAGTAGACAGTTCTTTCAGCTCCTGGTCAGTTCCTGCCACAGATCCAAAATGGGGACACTGAGGACAGCATGAGCCTGCCCCAGGAGCTCAGAGCCAAGGGCAGACACAGACCACGACGGCTCTGGAACACGTCACTTGCTTTGTTAAAACAGGAATTTTACTCCTCTCTGGAGCCCAGGAGCTGTGATCAGGGGTAGGACCCTGCACCTGTCAGCCTGACAGTGTCACCTACAGATGGGTTGAAATAGAACAGGTTCTGGGCTCTCAGTGCCTGTGCCATCCAGGAGTGAGGCCAGGGAACAGTGAGGGTTGGACATGTCCCCAGACTCTGGGACCAGCAGGCAGAGGAGGAGCCCCTGGGCTTAGGGCGCAGTCTCAGGGCCCGCCACTCCCTCTCAGGGTCCCGTGTGACTGAGACCTTCTCTGAAACCACAGAACCCCCCAGGCCACCCCTTGGATGCTGGCTGGTTTGCATACCCAGCAGCTCTCTCTCCAGCAAGGGGATAAGAGAGGCCTGGGGGGAAACCTGTCCAGCCTCGCCCTTGGGGAGCAGAATCGGGGCACCTCCACCATGGCCTGGATGCCCCTCCTCCTCGGCCTCCTGGCTCATTGCACAGGTGCTGACCACAGGATCACATTCACACCCGCCCAGGGCTGGGGATAAGCTTGGCTCTGACTGAGCTCAGAAGGGAGCTGCCAGTGGGGGCAGGTGGCTGGTGGTCCTGTTGCAGGATGAGGGGCTGGAAGGGATGACATCCCACACTGTGCTCAGTGCTGTGTGAGCCCTGAGGGGCTGCTCCTGCCAGAGGAAGGGGGGCAGGTTTCTCATTTGTTCAGGGGCTCCATCCACCAGCCAAGCCCGTCGGTCACTTTGGGGTGACAATGATGGGAGGGGCCTCTGTGGGCCCAGGGAATCCCTGGGGCTCAATGCAGGTCATCTGCTGGAGTCTCCTGGGAAAAGGTCCTTCATCTTCAGCCCAGGGATCCTTTCTCTCCTGCAAGCTCTGTGGCTCCTACGAACTGACTCAGTCACCCTCGGTGTCAGTGAAACTGGGACAGACAGCCAAGATCACCTATGGCAGGAAAGAATTAGAAATACATATGCTTACTGGTACCAGCAGAAGCCGGGCCAGGCCCCTGTGCTGGTCATCTACAGAGATAGCGAACGGCCCTCAGGGATCCCGGGCCGGTTCTCAGGCTCCAACTCCGGGAACACGGCCACCCTGACCGTCAGCGGGGCCCAGGCCGAGGACGAGGCCAACTACTACTGTCAAGTGTGGGACAGCAGCAGTGCTAATGCTCACAGTGACACAGGCAGATGGGGAAGTGGGACACAAACCTCCGAGCCTGGCTTGGCACTCACCCTAGTCCCCTCTGATTAGTGGGATGTAGGGCTGAGGTCTCGGCATCATCTCGGGTCCTGGCCCTGCTCACCCAGTACTGGAGACTCTGTTGTTCAGGGCCTCGGCTTGTTCTGATGAAAAGGGAGAAGGTAGCTGTTTTGGGCTTCGAAGTCTGAGGTCAGGTCTGGAGAGAAAAGGAAAGGGTTAGGAGTCACGATATATGACAGTAGCCCCAGATGCAATCACGTGTCTGCAGGACAGGGGGGCTGTGAGATATGGCAGAGTTCTGGGGGAATCCCCCTCCTCCAGGGGGAACCCGCTGAATGGGGCCTGGGGTGAGGTCCTGTGGTTTCCGGGATGAAGAGTCCACTCCTCCTGGGGATTTCCTGAGGCCTGGAGAGGGCTGAGCCCCGGCCCCCGACCCCAGGGCCCTCCTCCCCTGAAATGTGGCGGAAACTACAGAGACAGTATGGTCCCCACCTGGGCTCCTCCTGCGGATGTTCTCCTGGACACACGGTCCTCCGGTTGGACCCTGGTCCAGAGTCCCCAAAACTACCGTCTGATGGGTACGGACTTTCTGTTTAGGGAGAGAAAGCTCCACATATGGATGGTGACGGCTGCGTAACGCTGTGAATGTGTTTTAGTGCCACTGAGTATAAGTCAAAAATGATCCTATTATGCAGGCTTCTCCAGAGACAGCCAATAGGGTACAGAGATGGATTAGGAGAAATTGGCTGACAACGTTATGGAGGCTGAGAAGTCCCTAGAAGCACCGTCCACAGGTCAACCCCCGAGAGCCCGTGTGTGATTCTGCCTGAAGGCCTGAGATCCAGGAAGGCTGACGTGCCTCTCGTCCAGGGCAGAAGGGCAATGTCCCAGCACCACCCCCCCAGGGATAAGGGGGTCCTGCCTCTTCTGCCCTTTGCTCTTGCCAGGCCCCCAGGGATGGGATGAAGCCCACCCACGTGGGAAGTGCCACCTGCTTCTCTGAGCCCCCAGGTCCAAAAGCTAATGCTCTCATGAACACCCCCAACACCAACTGAAATGAGTACCAGTGGGACGTACTTGCCCAGCCGAGTGGACACACGTAGTGAACCATCATGGCGGTTAGTGGTACATTGCATGCATGGATATTTCACTGTTTTTATTTAAATGGCTTAGTCTGAAAATAAAGTACAGGAAACAGTGTTGAAGTCCTTTGACCAACAAAACAGAAGAAAGGACTGGGCAGTGATCTCCATTCACCCTCTCCCTGGACAAAACTTGGGGGGTTACTGGTGCCCCATACAGACTCTATCTCTCTCCATCTTCTCCGTAATTCAGAACTAACATTTATGTGTCCAGTTCACAGCTGCCATATGTCCCCAGAAACCCAGTCGTTCTGTCACAGCTAATTACCTGTGATAGTGAATGAGACCCTCAGGCTCCCCCCTCACACGTGGTCAGCAGTTCTCTCTGGTCCAGCTTCATCCTTGCAACTCCAGGCAGTAGAGCTCCTGCAAAAGGTCCACAGAGAGGAGTGTGCTCGCTGTGCGCGGTCGGACAACGTCTCTGTATTGTAAGAAATGCTCTTGGGGGCCCTTCACAATTGCATGAAAAAAACTGTAGACAGTAATTAGAGTCATGTTATGAAATCAGAAATATAATTAAGATGACAGAAAGGTAAATTTTTAAAAAGCCAGTCTTAATGTGCATTTGGTAACCCCGCAGGCTTTATAGACAACTGAAGACTCATTTGTCCCCGTTACATCGACCATGAGACACCCGTCACTCCCACCCACTTAACAGTGAGGACCAAGCAATCCTGCCCAGCAGAGACAGAAGGACCCAGGCCAGGCCCCTGCATGGCCAAACCAGCCTCCCATCCCCACAGATTCTCAGCTCTACCCTGGGACACAGCCCCGCTGACCTCCCCAGCCAGGATGCGGTGGGGACAGCAGTGAGCCCTGGAGACCCAGGCCTGCCACACAGCGTGGCCCTCACGGCTCCCGCACCCTGGTCAATTACTGTCCCAAAGGACCAGGGTCTGACTCCTGGCCCCCATCCTGGGCTCACCTCACTTTTCTCTATTAATCTGGGGACTTCCTCTCTCTGGGCCTCTGCTTAACCAGCTGTTAAGCTTTATTTCCAAATTAAAATATAAAAAAGTCCCCAGAATGCATTAAAACAAAGAGAGAATTGGCAAGGATCTCAGCGACTCATGAGGTCCTGGAGTTCCCTGTCCTCCTTCTGCAGGAATCCTAGAAAGGGCTTCAGCCTTCGGTATGATTTCCAGGTGGATTCCCAGTGGAATAAGCCAGAGATTCCCTGTCTCCTCAAAAAGGCAGATGACGCTGAGCTAGACATTCACTCCCCAAGAGCTGTGAGAGGGGGGAGATGACATGGAAACCACAGGGAGAGAGATGATGATGGTGATGGTGATGGTGATGGTGATGAGGATGGTGATGAGGATGGTGATGAGAATGTTGATGGTGATGGTGACAAGGATAGTGTTGAGGCTGGTGATGAGGATGACATCAGTGCACAAGTGAACTCAAATACAAGAAACAGCATCACACAACTGCCCTCCTCAGGTGGGGATAGTATCTATTTTGATTCCTAAACACAAGGAAATCTGGGTCTCCAGGGTACTATACACGTTGCTATGGACACTGACACTTTGCAGACAAGCTGCTGTTCATCTCACACCCTCCACTCTACTAATAAAATCAAAGGGTTGGGAAGAGCACTTCCACCCCCAAGATAAGGTTATGGGAACTGCACCTGCACCCCGTAGGTGACCTCTCTGTGCTGGCCTGGGCAGGGCCGGGGTCACAGCTGGCCCAGAGGCAGGGCTGGAATCCCTGCTCCACACCTACTCAGGTGACATACCTTTGAGGTGACCTGCAGGAGAGAAGATCCTGGTCTGGCTCTCATCCACCAGCAGGGGGCAGCAGAGGCAGCAGGAGCACCACAACTGAGGCTGGGATGGCCCAGGTGGAGCCTTAGGATAATCAGCCCTGGGGGTCCACTGGGGTCTGAGAGTCAGGCCTGGCAGGAAGTTGGGCCTGACCACCCCATCCCCTGAAGAAACAGGGAGCACATGGGAGGTTCACATGCACAGTGAACCCAAGACACCGGAGAACAGGGCACTGCGTGCCTCCCCTCCCAACAGGATCCTGCCAGGCTCACAAACCCACTGAGCTTCCCAGCAGAGTCCACAGGCCAGAATGGTTGGGACAGTGGTCATGTGGTCAGACACAGGAAGGGCATTGTGACCATGGCCCCTGGAGGCCGGGTCTGATTTTCAAACATGAGAGCCAGGGAGGAGGCTGAGCAAGCTGTCCTGGCTGAAGGACTGGTGACTCCCCTCTCAGTGAGGAGCCCCAGGGAGGGGGTAAATTTGCATAAACACAAACCCTCCTGCCCCAAAGCTCTGAGGGAATAAGAGGGAACTTGAGGAGCGCTGCCCTGCTGAGTGGTCTCAGAGCAGAGCTCAGGGTGCCTCCACCATGGCCTGGACCCACATCCTGCTGCCCCTCCTCTCTCTCTGCACAGGTGCTGCCCCCAGGGCTCTGCCCTCAATGGATTCTCAGCTTGGTCTGTCCCACACCAGGAGCTCAGCCCTAGCACAGCCTCAGGGCAGGAGGGCAAGGAGCCCTTCATCCTCAAGCCCCCTCTTCTCTCGTCTCTCACAGGCTCCGTGACCTCCTATGAGCTGACCCAGCAGGCTTCAGTGTCCGTGGACTTGCAACAGACAGCCAGCATCACCTGCTCTGGAGACCTACTGGACAAAAAATATACTCAGTGGTACCAGCAGAAGCCAGGCCAGGCCCCTGTGCTGGTCATTTACAAAGATAGTGAAAGACCCTCAGGGATCCCTGAGCGGTTCTCTGGCTCCAGCTCAGGGAAGACAGCCACCCTGACCATCAGCGGGGCCCAGGCCGAGGACGAGGCCGACTATTACTGTCACTCAGCAGACAGTAGTGATAATGCTCACAGTGACACAGGCAGATGGGGAAGTGAGACACAAACCCTCTCCCCATCTGTGTCAGCCAAGAAACAATTCTCATCTGGTCATGAAACTGCACAGATGATAAAATGTGGCAGGAAGGATGCTCAAGCAATGGTTATCCTCCTCCTCCATTTGTTCATGAAGGTAGAGGAATGACTGCCTAGGTTCACTACAGACTAGGGACATACTGCAGTCTTTGGGGCAGAAAAGAGGTGGAGGAGGTGCAAATAAAAAACTTTTGAAGACACACTGGTTGAAAAGTTTCTAATTTCAATGGAAACGAGGAACCCGCAGATCCAAGAAGCTCCACAAACTCCAAGCACAAGAAACACTAATGAAACAACACCAAAACACACCGACATTGAGTCCTTAGAACCGGTGTCGAGGAGAAGCTCATAAAAGCAGGTGGAGAGAAAGCACACGTTCTCCCCAGAGGAAGGAGCACAGTTGGTTGAGGGCCTCCCTCCTTCGGGACCACCAGACGGGAGAGCAGACACTGCAGTTGTCTCTTTAGAATGAAAAAGCAAAAACAAAACAACACAACAGCAAGAGAAGGAGCTGTGTCCACTCTGAAAACTACTCACTGGAAATATCTGTAAATATTAAGGCAAACACACGCTCGTGTAGCTCAAAGTTCTGAGACGCAGAGGGACACGTGGTGACATCGGTGCCCTGTGTGAGAAGCGGTGTGCTGTCCGGGCAAGATCGGCCTGTACTGTGGACCCCGCAGCCGACCTTCAAATAGCACTAATTTCAACAACAATTTCAGCCAATCAACCATAAAAGAAGAGAACATTAATTTATAAAAAATATTCAGTTAATGAAGAATAGAGAAAAAGCAAAGTAGCAATGAGGAAGACATGGGACAAAATGTAAAGAAGTAGCAAGATGGGTCACCTTCACAGACATGTATTACGAATCCCATCGATGGTAAGTGGGGGAAATCCCACAATTAAAAGGCAGACGCGGGCAGATTCAATTTTACAGCAAGACCCGTGGAAACGGCCCTGCACGGCCAGAGCAGCCTCCCAGCCCACAGAGCCTCCGGCTCTAACCCGGGCACAGCCCCTGCCCTCCCCCACAGGCAGGCTGAAGGGGCCTCCTTATGACGATCGGAGGTCTCCCTTCTGCACCGGGACCCTCTGTAACCCCTGACATCATTCATTGGTCTCCATTTCCAAACTTTCTGCAGATTCTTCACGTAGAACCATAGGTAAGGGATGAAACCACCGAGGGAAAAGAAAACCATTAGAAATGATGGATAGAAGGAAAAACATACAATCACATAGCACGTCGCCCTGGGATTGGCGTTGCTCACTCTGCATAATCCCCTGTAGATGCAGGCAAACTGCCCTGTGCGCTCAGCATCCGGTCCTTTTCATGGCTGAGTACTGGTCCACGATTCCGGTCCAAAAGTCTCGGACCCAGTCAGTCACCCACTGAAGGATGTCGGCACTGCTCTCAGCATGGGCTGGTCCGCACTTGGGATCTGTGGACGGTTGTGTCTAGTTTCCCTGTGACCTTACGTTCTCACTTCTCTGAAATATATGCTCAGGTGTGCATGGCTGGGGTGTATGGTGACCTCTAGGTAAATTTTTTAAGAAGCTGCCAATTCTTTTGCAGACATTCTGCACCACCTCACACTTCTCTTAGTCACGCATGTGCCACTGAGTTCTCCACATCTTTGCCAGCATGTGGGGAAGTCTGGATTTTTATTGTAGCCCCTCTGATAGGTGAGAGGTGGTACCTCACTGTGGTGTCATCTGCATTTCCCTCCTTGCTGATAAGGGAGGGCTGTTCACAAGCTCATTATCACCTCTCTGTCCTCTTCCACAAACTGTTTCTTCTAGTCCACTGGCCATTCTCTAAGTGAAATCTTCTTGTCATTTTTTTCTTTTTACTGGTTAGACTGCACCATGTTTATATAATCCCTTCACTAGTCATTCACTGGGTCTGTGTTTTGCAAGGTTTTCGTTCAGTCTGTTACTTCAGCTTTTTTTTATCCCCCTTAGAGAGTTTGCAAACAAAAGATGTTGATACTGATGGGGTTCAATGATTTAATCTTTCTTTTTCGAATCATGTATTTGGCATCACCAAACAATTCTTGCTCAACCCCAGAGCCAAATAATTCACCTACGTTTTTCTTCTAAAATAAATTGACATATGTTAAGAAAAGACTTCCTGAAAGGTACCTGAGCAATGTCACTGTGTCTGATGATGAAATTCTGGCGTCTCACAGCAGCGTGTTGACCGCTGTCCCCGCAGCAGTTGCTTCCAGCACTGCCTAGGCCCCGCGGCGATGCCCGCAGCACTAGACAGGATGCTGGTGTCACCCAGGCCCAGAGGGGAAGCCCAGGCCCAGACTGAGCTGGGAGTGCACTCACTGAGGGCAGGGGGCACCCATTCCTCACTCAGCACCACAGACACTTCTCCGACCTGGGCTCTGGACTGGGAGTGGGGCCCCCACTGAAATCCTCCATTGAGCCCAGCTGCTCTCTGCTCAGCAGGGAGCTGGTCACCAAGGCCACAGAGCCAGGAAATAGATTTGCATGAGGATATCCCTTCTGAGGATAAGAGAGTCCCGGAGATCCCACCCCCAGCTATGGGATCAGAGGCAGAGATCAAGGCGCCTCCCCCATGGCCTGGACATCCCACTTGCTGCCCCTCCTCTCTCTCTGTACAAGTGCTGCCCCCAGGGTTCTGACCCCAGGGTACCCAGGGATCAGCCTGGCCCTGAACATCAGCTCAGCACAGGGGATGCTGCAGAGTGCGAGGTCTCAGGGAATGAGACCTTGGTCCCCACCCTCACTCTCTTCTCCTCTCCTCTCCTCTCCTGCAGGTTACGTGGCCTCTTCTGCACTGACTCAGCCCTCCGCGGTGTCCGTGTCCTTGGGACAGACGGCCAGGATCACCTGCCAAGGAGGCAGCATAGAAAGCTATGCTGCTCACTGGTACCAGCGGAAGCCAGGCCAATTCCCCGTGCTGGTCATCTATGGTGATGACAGAAGGCCCTCAGGGATCCCTGAGCGGTTCTCTGGCTCCAGCTCTGGGGGCACAGCCACCCTGACCATCAGCGGGGCCCAGGCCGAGGACGAGGCCGACTATTACTGTCACTCAGCAGACAGCAGTGTTTCTAATGCTCACAGTGACACAGGCAGATGGGGAGGTGGGAACCAAAACACCCTCCATCTCTGTCACCCTCTCCTCTAGTCCCTGGAGGCCTGTGGACAAAGCAGTGACAGTTCTGGCCCGGTTCCCCCAGATCTGAACTTCCTGGCTGCCCTCTCCCCATCCTCCAGGCTGCTCTGCCCACGGTGGATCAGGGGTGGATTTCTGCCTGGCAGCATGGGGCTTCCATGGTGTCTTTGTCCCTAAGGTATGAGTGGGGGTTGGAGGTCATGGGTGGAGACAGACAGAGAGACGTCCAGGGAGGCAGGAGGACCCTACATCACAAGGGAGTCAGATCTCTCAGTGAAATGGGATAATGGTCGTGTTTCTGGGTGGAAGCATTTCCCCTACAGAACTAAGACCCCAGGCCAGCAGGGTGGAGGTCAGGGGACTGGGAGTAAATGTGTTGAGCAGGTCCCCAGGGATGATAATAGGTGGAGCCTCCCACCCCCTCACCTTGGATCCTGGCCCAGTGAATCCTGGTGATGGGAGAATCATCATACATTGTGCACAGATTTAGAGCATATCTCACACCTGGAAGGCATTGCCCGCCCCAACATGTGTTGGCACTTGTCTGGCAGAGGAACTGGCTCTTCCATCGGCTGTTGGCCCATCACTAAGGCAGCTGCCTCGGGATGTTGGGGAAAGTAGTGGGACTGGTGAAGCCCAGGAGCCTGGGCCCACGGCAGCCCCTCTTCTGATGTGGAATGAGCTCATGGTCAGAAGCCCCATGAGGAAACACAGAAATCTATGAGTCCAGGTTGAACACTTTGGTCAGAAGGATTGCAGTCACAGAGGGCAACTCCCAGTCTGCAGCAAAGATCTGTCAGTAAGAGCACAGCTCCCCCCTCCACGCTGGAAGAGGTCTGATGTCATCAACCGACCACCAGGTCCCTGGCGGATTCCCGAGAGAAGGGTGTCCCACGGGAGCCGTGCTGGTCTGTGCTATTGGCAGGCTGGTGACGGAAGTGGCTGTGGACAGGTCAGCTGAAGACACTGGAGCCATCCTGACTAGCCTGTGGCTGATCCTGCCCTTCCCATGGGGGAGCTGGGTCACAGTGCCCACCCGGCGATGGTTGGAGAGGGAGGCGGACTGCTATCCACAGAGTGGGTCCTCGTGTCCACCTGGTTATTAACATCACTTCTTTTTTAGGACACACGTTGCTAAGCACTTTCATGGGACACAAATAAATGACTCTCTGGTTCCCTCTGTGGCGGTTCATACTTGTGTCTTTTCCGTGTATTCCTGCCACGTCTCTGACGGTCCAGTGAAACTCTGAGTCTCAGCCCATAAATTAGCACACAGCCCCCTCCAGCTACCTCTGTGTCCAGGCTAATGGACAGGATACCCTACTCCACTGGTCACTCATCAATCCAGGAGAATTGTCCTCCACTGCTGTCCTTCAGGGGTGTCCCTGTTGGAGGCGGAAAGCCCAAAGGCTAGCTCTAAGGTGTGTCTTCATAACATCCTCAAACCTCTGCAAACCAGCCCCAAGGGTTTTCCTCTGCGACACTCTTCATAGGCATCGCCCCACGAGGCAGAGGTGGGCGTTGCTGGAATAAAGACATTGTAGCAAGACTTGGGCTCAGGGGTGTTAATGCCACTTCCCCAGGCAGCTCCCTGGGGGCTTCAGGACCTGGGGGTACTGACCTCATATCAACCTCCTCTACTTGAGGACAGAGAGCTACTGCGCATGCCCACCCATGACCCAGCTGGTCAGGCCTTGCCTGGTCCCCGTAGGTGGCTCTGGTCCCAGGAGTCTTAGGGGCTCACAGTCACGATACAGCTCCCACTGGGGCTCAGTATCTCCAACAGTCTTTCTCACATGAGACTCTCTGTTGACACAGATGAATGACAACCGCTAGGCTGCCCCTGTCTTTCAGTTCCAGGGACACCAGGACCATCGGCTGACACTAATGGTCTCTGTAACATGATCCAATTACTCCATTGGTCCCGTGGGACTTTGTGGACCACACCCACCTCCACCTTGGTGGCAAAACAGAACTACTTGTCTCCTGCCAAACCAAGGATCCCGTCACACACAGTCTCGTATCAGGGGCCAGCACTGGGGCAAAGGTCAGCCCTCGAAGAGTGAGACCTGAGAATAGCCATCGTCTGGCTTTCAGGTGAACAGAGAACATGAGACATGGAAGAATGATGGGGGGGGACTCTATCCTTTGCCCCAGATCCAAGAGCCTCCACTAGGCTGCCCCACCGTCTAGATGGAACCATGAAGGCCAGGGCTGCATCTTGTCCATACTGACTTGTAGGGAGGACTATCTGCCAGAAGAAAGCAGATCTGAAAGTCAGGTGGGTGGGTGATATCCTGTTTCTGACCCTGGAGCAGTAGCTACCTCTGCCCTTGTTTGGCTTTGGACCAAAGGCCAGCACCACCGAAAGTCAGTCCCTGTGTCATGTGTCCCCCAGGACCAAGCCCAGAGCCAGACGCATTAACTTCCCGTGACCCCAGAGACCTGCGCAGTGATTGTTCTGGGGTATGGCCATCTCCCCCTGCAAATGAGGCTGCTCATATATTCATAGAGAGGCTGAGCCCGTCATGCCCGGTCTGAGGCAGGCAGGGGCCAAGCAGAGACATGTACATCGTGCCCTGGGGCCCGCCATCCCTGCTGTGGGAGACACACCTGAGCAGTGGTTCTGAATCTGCATCAGGACAGAGGACGCCCTGAGCCTCCAGCAATGTGCAGAGCAGCCACCAGGGACAAGAGAGTCACACGGCAAATTCACCTGCAGTGGGCGTGTCCTGGGCATCAGGGGTTCCACATGCAGGGGGTATGTAACCACCACCTCACACTGGAGGGCAGGTGTCCTTCTACACAGTCATCTTCACTCTCAAATATACATTTTCTGCCTTCGAGTGTCCCAGTCCTGCTCTTGCAGGTGGTGCCTCTTTCCTCCAGCCCACGTACACCCTGCTGAAAAGCCATCACTGTCCACGAATGCCCATCCTCCCTGTGATCTCACATCCCCTCCTCCCCTGCGCTCGGAGCCCCGGTCCTCCAGACACAGCTGCTCTTGCTCCCTGGAAGCTCCCCCATCATCCCCAACCTGTCCTTCCACTCACCCCTCACAGACAAGAGATTTCCAGATTTCCCCACTTCCCAATTCCCTGGACCTGACACACAGCGGTCACTCAACAAAGTCTTCTGGACTCACATCATAATTATGTTTATGACATATATTTTCCACAGCAACAGAAAGCATGTTGATTGTGATAAACATTCCCTGGCAGACCTGTTAAACCCTGAGCCACCAGCACTGTCCTACAGAGCAAACAGTTCTTTCAGCTCCTCTTCCTACCCGGGATGCAAAATGGGGACACTGAGGAGAGCATGCAGCCTGCCCCAGCAGCTCACAGCCAAGGGCAGACCCAGACCACGACAGCTCTGGAAAACTCCACGTACTCTGTCAAAGAAAGAATTTTACTCCCTCTCTGGAGCCCAGGAGCTGTGATCAGCGGTGGGACTCTGCACCTGTCTAAGCCTCACAGTGTCACCTACAGATGAGTTGAAATAGAACAGATTCATCTCTGGGCTCTCAGTGCCCATGCCATCCAGGAGGGAGGCCAGGGCACAGTGTGGGTTGGACACATCCCCAAACTATGGGACCAGCAGGCAGAAGAGGAGCCCCTGGGCTGAGGGTGCAGTCTCAGGGCCCGCCATTCCCTCTCTGGGTCCCTGGGGACTAAGCCCTTCTCTGAAATCACAGAGCCCCTCAGGCCGCCCCCTGGGTGCTGGCTGGTTTGCATACCCAGCAGCTCTCTCTCCAGCAAGGGGATAAGAGAGGCCTGGGTGGACACCTGCCCAGCCTCGCCCTCAGGAAGCAGAATCGGGGCACCTCCACCATGGCCTGGATGCCCCTCCTCCACAGCCTGCTGAGTAACTGGACAGGTGCTGCCCCCAGGATCACATCCACACGTGCCTAGGGCTGGGGACTAGCCTGGCTCTGAATAGGCTCAGAAGGGTGCTGCCAGTGGGAGCAGGGGGCTGGTGGTCCTGCTGCAGGACGAGGGGCTGGAGGGGATGACATCCCACACTGTGCTCAGAGCTGTGTGAGCCCTGAGGGGCTGCACCTGCCAGAGGAAGGGGGCAGGCTTCTCATTTGTTCAGGGGCTCCATCCACCAGCCAAGCCCGTAGGTCACTGGGGGTGAGACTGATGGGAGGGGCCTCTGGGGGCCCAGGGAATCCCTGGGGCTCAATGCAGGTCAGATCCCGGGTCTCCTGGGAAAATGTCCTTCATCTTCAGCCCAGGGATCCTTTCTCTCCTGCAGGCTCTGTGGCCTCTTATGGTCTGACTCAGTCACCCTCAGTGTCGGTGAACCCGGGATAGCCGGCCAAGCTCACCTGTGGCAGGGACAGCATTGGAAATAAATATGCTTACTGGTACCAGCAGAAGCCAGGCCAGGCCCCTGTGCTGGTCATCTACAGAGATAGCAAACGGCCATTGGGATCCCAGACCAGTACTCACGCTCCAACTCGGGGAACACGGCCACCTTGACCATCAGCGGGGCCCTGGCCGAGGACGAGGCTGACTATTACTGTCAGTCATATGACAGCAGTGTTAATGCTCACAGTGACACAAGCACATGGGGAAATGGGGCTCAAACACCCCTGCCTGGCCTGGCACTCACCCTAGTCCCCTCTGAGTAGTGGGATGTAGGGCTCAGGCCCAGGCATCATCTCGGATCCAGGCCCTGCTCACCCAGGGCTGGAGACTCTGTTGTTCAGGGCCTCGGCTTGTCCTGATGAAAAGGGTGAAGGTAGCTGTTCTGGGCTTCAAAGGCTGAGATCAGATTTGGAAAGGAAAGGAAAGGGTTAGGAGTCAAGATATATGACAGTAGCCCCAGAAGCAATCACGTGTCTGCAGGACAGGGCGTCTGTGAGGGATGGCAGGGTTCTGGGGGAATCCCTCTCCTCCAGGGGGAACCCACTAAATAAGGCCTGGGGCAAGGTCCTGTGCTTTCTGGGATGCAGAGTCCCCACCTCCTGGGGGCTGCCTAAGGTATGGAGAGGGCTGAGCCCCGGCCCCCGACCCCAGGGCCCTCCTCCCA